TAAGCAAGACCCTCATGCGTAATTTAGGTATTTTAAAACAATAAGAAAGAATATTATAACCGAACGGATTTCTATTATGGGTAAGGAATTTTAAGTACGTTGCTATTCTCAGTTTAGAACCAGGGATGTTCTATTATTGGTGAGGAATTAAAAGTACAAAGCTATTGTGGGTAAAAAGATGAAATTACATTGTAATATAAAAACTAAAGTAGGTTCCCTATATTGGTAAAAAATATAGTAAAATCTGGTGCTATTTCAGACAACAATTAAAATTCACCCCAATAAAATTCATGGTTTCAACATGCCTTTTCTCCCTTAATTGCACAATTCCAGGAACAGAACTCAAATGGTAATGAATTTTAGTTTAAATACCATATCAAAATCATTAATTAATCCCTAACCTTTTTAGCGTCTCTAAACTATTTTCGGACGATATACTTCTTGCAATGTACATCTTCCATGATACTGATTTGTGATTATATATGCCTTCTATAGCACATGTGTTTACTTTCATTTACATGCTCCTCCACCTTTGAAACCATCACCACCACTCAAATTCACCAATTTCTATGTTGATCAAGGGTGTTTGTTTTCATTCCATCACCGAAAGGAATGGAAATTACAATATATCCGATTTTTGATCTTCTAGTTCTTAATGAAAAGAACCTTTTCATGATTACATATAATTTAAATTACAATGTTATATTTTAAAAGTAACTGTATTCAAAATCATATGGATTTGTTAGGTTTGGTGATGAAAAAGAAAGAACAAGGCATGTGACTAAAATAAATGGCATGTATTGTTTAACCAGACACACTCAAATTGGTGTTGCAACCCTTAGAAAGGCACCTAGTTAACAACAATATAGGCATCTTATCTTGGGCTGCCAACCAAGTGAGGCTCTGTGTTCAGAAACATTGCTAACATGGCCCTCTTATGATACAATGATCTTTAAACTCTACTTTTAACTAATTACTTTTTATTGTTAGAAAATATAGAAAATCTATAAGTATATTTTATTCATCTAATTAACTAATCAGGATGTAAGGCTAAGAGTATTGGTAAAGGTAAATTTAGTTGGCCTTCAGACGTTTTTATGAAGGTCAATTCAAGAATAGTTATGTGAATAGTGTGCGAAGAAACATACATGGTAAATAGGCATAATTTGCGAACAATACACCTTTTTTTATCTATTAAAATAGCAGTTTAGGAAGTTAGTGAGAAGTCATATTTGCAACACGTTGGAACTGTAACAAAATAAGAAAATAAAATTGACAACTTTTTTCAGATTAATGGGTAACAAGTTTAAAAAAAGGACAAAGGGGCTATGTGGCAGGATCTGAATTTTTAAGATCTGAACTTTTAAGAGGTCTGAATTTCTAAGAGGGTTTGAATGTTTAAAATCTGAACTGTTAATATGTTGTTTGGTTGGAACCTTGGAATTGCTATGTTGAATGATAAAAATGACTATTTTACCCTTCTATTTAAAAATAATAATAAATACCAAATAAAACTATCCAAATTTTGAGAAATCCACATTTACATGTAATAATTTTACCAACATTTAAACCACTCTATATTATCACAACTTTAAAATACAAATTCAACAAACATGTCAAAAATAAAAACATTATATTACAACAAGAAACAAAAAAGCAAATTCATATTATTAAAATTAATTCCTAAGTAATACAAATTGAGTTATTACAGCCACATCTTCACCATTAACACCCGACATCCCATTACCCTCTTCATCACACACACAACCATCATCCCTGCCTCACACAATCATTATCATACACCATCACCGAGCAACGCTCAATACCTTCATCATTAATAAATGAAAAAACTATTATAGGGATATTAATCTGGGATACATGTTGACAATACAAAATATCATTTGAGAGTTAACCAATTTACATTCAATATTATACAATGTTATGCCACTGTTGGGTTTTTGGAAACATTTGCCAATTTTCATAATTCATATGCATAACTCATAAAAGAATTCCTTTTCAAATATTACTCACGGTGATAAAGTCTGATAAGCTCAAACCTGGGTAATCTTATCTAAACTGAAATATGAATTCAAAAAAGACAAGTTTTTGCAATTTCTTCATTCCAATAGCTAACAAAAACATAAGGGCAAATCTATCCCCAATTGATAGCTACAACTAAATTAACTCAAAAAGAAGTAGTCCGAGATTACAAACCCCCATCGTGTGAAAAAGCGAGAACCGTATTACTTGATGAATGTGTTAGGGACGTTGAGAAGGAGCTTACACCGATTAAGGACACGTGGATCACACAAGGAGTCTCAATAGTCTCGGATGGGTGGTCTAATGTGAAACATAATCCACTCATCAATGTCCTTGCGGTTAATTCCCGTGGTGCAACATTCATGTATGCGGAAGACTTTTCGGGGGTTGAAAAATCGGGGGTAGAAATTTCAAAGTTTCTACTTGGAGCCATCGATAATATTGGACCAAGTAATGTATTACAAGTTGTAACCGATAACGCCGCTAATTGCAAGGCTGCCGGGCGGGAGATCGAAAGGATACACAAACATATTTGTTGGTCCCCATGTTGTGTGCACACCTTAAATCTCATTTTTAAGGACTTGGCGAAGGAATTTTATTGGCTAGAGGAGACCTATAAGAGAGGTAAAGGTATTGTCAAGTATTTTATTAACCACACACATGCTTTATCATTTTTTAGGGAAAACTCAACTCTAGAGTTATTGAAGGTTGCAAAGACTCGTTTTGCCTCACACTACATAGTTTTGCATAGATTAATGGAGTGCAGGGAGGCTCTTTCTACAACTATTGTTCTTAATTCTTGGCGGGAATGGGTCAAGAATGGGGATGAAGCCACTCAAATAGTTGGGTCAAAAATCACCGATACAATCAAAGATGATGAGTTTTGGGACGATGTTGAAAATATATTGGCTATCACAAAACCAATATTTTTGTTACTAAAATTTTGTGATGGTGAAGGCCCCAAAATGGGAGAGATTTATGAAAGGATGGACAACATGCTAGGTGAAATCAAGGATGTCATGAGGGAAAATAAATATGCAAGTTATTACCCTCAAGTTGAAAAAATTGTTTTGGATAGGTGGGAGAAGATGACAATACCCCTTCATTGTTTGGGATTTGCCTTAAATCCAAAATTCTATGATAAGCACTACCTAGAAAAATTGGCACCCGGTGGCATGGCACGAAAAGCTCCCAACCAAGATAAAGAAATTGTACTTGGTGTTATGGAGGCGTTTGATAGAATTGCGGAGAATGACGAAGAAGCAAAATTTTTACGAGAACAATTCGTGAAATTTCATATGAAGAAAGGAATTTACTCTATGACCTCAACTCAAATTGATGTCGTAACCATGGACGGAATTGATTGGTGGGCAACTTATGGATCGGAGACTCCAGAATTGGCGGATGTGGCGAAAAGAGTACTCTCTCAACCGATTAGTAGCTCCTCGGCGGAGAGAAATTGGAGTACATACTCCTATATTCATAACGTGAAGCGAAATCGTTTAAATTGCAAGAGAGCGGACAAACTAGTTTTTATTCACTCAAACATTCGGCTTCTATCCCGTTTCTCAGAATCTTATAAATCCGGACCCCTGAAAAAATGGGACATAAACCCGTAAAGTGATTATATAGAAGGTTCAAGTGCCCGATTGGAGGAAATGATTTGGGAGAATCTTGTGAAGAAAGCGTGGAGAACGGAAAAGGAAAAAGGCAGCGGTTAGATTAGATGTTTTATCACTTTATGTTTGGTAATCTTGTGATGTTTTACGTTTGGTAATTTTGCATGTAATATGTTACATCTTTTGGTACTTAATGAATTAAGATTATGTTTTTGGTATTTTGGTAATCTTGATATAATATGTTCCTTGTTTATCATACATTTACAATAATATGTTTCTAAAAATGGTTTACATTTGGGTACACTGTACCGGACTTCATGGTACACTGTACCGGTTCGTACCGAAATGAGCCTACCCCCTCCGAATCGGATACGTCCAATCTAGTGAATCCCGTACCCGTACCTCGTTCCCGTACCGGATCGAACTGCGAATTAGGTAACTATGGTCCGAGGTTA